ATATATATATATATATATATATATATATATATATATATATATATATATATATATATATATATATATATATATATATATATATATATATATATATATATATATAATATTATATATACCCGTCCAAATTACAGAAATTAGGTTAAAAATAATGCAAACTTTGCAGAAGGATTTCTAAAGTTTCTACCAACCTTTCTGCTCAAAAACAAAATGTTTTTTATCTCTATTATTAAACTTTTGTTTCTTGTAGAAATTAATAAAAAAAAAAGATGAAAAATCCCTGGCAAATTGACAAAGGCAAAGCTAAGGTTGGGAAAATCTAAATAATATGCTGTTTTCCGTTCAATTTGTTCCATGAAAGAGCAAACGTTGGGATTTCAGCACTAGTCTTTCCCCTTTTCTGGGGATTGCTTCATTATTTTTACAGAAAATTAATTCGCGATTTTGGCTGCAACTAATTACAAGTTTTAAGAAAAGATATATGTAGCAATTTACCATTAAAATATTTTATTACGTTCCGTAATATGTTTAAACCTAATATCCACAATTCGGACAAGTGGCAATATTGGGTTCCTTGCCATCTTTTAATTTCAAAGCCACGACGTAGAAATAACTACAAACAAAAGATTACCTTCTTAATTCACATGTAACAACCGTTAATAATAGATCCAAATAGTTTCCTAATCGTCATTCTCAATGGATCGGAAGCTCAGTTTCTATTTGGTCATGACGATGGCGTCAATGTGGCGATGTAACAGAGTGTCGACTTATGTCGAATATGAAAATTAAAAATGATTTGCATACAGTACACAAAAAGCAAGATAGAGAGTCCAGACTCAGTATAGTTATAGAGTACAGATTCAATATCGATAGAGGACAGACTCAGTATCGATAAACTTACAGAAACGTTTTTGATGAAATTTTTACTGCTTTACGTGCCTAGGTAGTTTAAGTATATTGTCCTGGTTATACTGTCAGATTTCATTTTTGAGAAATTAGACAAGGAAAGCTTAACTTGTAAAGTGTGATAACCAACAATTACCACTATACCTTGTCATTAATAAAAATTCTTTGAAAAATACTGTAACTATACTATCAGGTTCCAACGGACCATTGTAGTAATCGCTTGAGGTTGATCTGCGTATTAGTAATGTTGGATCACTTGTATTTCTGCCATCACCAAGTATGAACATGTTTTCAGCAACTCCGCTGGATGCAACAACTGCAGCGATATAAGGTTTCGGGACGGTTGATTTTCTTGCCTCGGCATACGTCACTAACTCACTGTTCTCGTAATTGTCAGATGACGTAGGTTCCTTGCCATCTTTTAATTTCAAAGCCATGACGTAGAAATATACAAAAGATTACCTTCTTAATTCACATGTAACAACTGTTAATAATAGATCCAAATAGTTTCCTAATCGTCATTCTCAATGGATCGGAAGCTCAGTTTCTATTTGGTCATGACGATGGCGTCAATGTGGCGATGTAACAGAGTGTCGACTTATGTCGAATATGAAAATTAAAAATGATTTGCATACAGTACACAAAAAGCAAGATAGAGAGTCCAGACTCAGTATAGTTATAGAGCACAGATTCAATATCAATAGAGGACAGACTCAGTATCGATAAATTTACATGCAGAAACGTTTTTGATGGAATTTCGAATGAAAATGTGAGCGTACTTGATGTCATATCTGTGGTCTTTGGTGCTCCTGGAGGAAAATGTGATAATATTAACAGGCGCGGATCCAGCCTAAACTCCAAAACCGCGCATAATTAGGGGGGTCCGGGGGCATTCCCCCCCCGGAAAATTTTTTAAATTTGAACCCCGGAAATGCCATTTCCTGAGTTCTGAGCATCGAATTCTATCATATACTTCGTCATTAATTACGCCATATTTTAGACAGCAAATAGCGAAACGCACTAAATAAGTCAAATATTTAAACAACATACCATGTTCTTCAGCAAACGTTACAACATTAGAATGTTACAAAATCACCGTACTTACATAAAACAACAACAAAGGCTGCTTACAACAAAGGCTGCGCACGTTTGCACACACTGACGCAAAAAAACACCGTTTGCCACAGCAGAGTAAGCCAACCATGGAAATCGTGATAACCATGCCAACCGGAAACATCTACCAATATTTTCGTGTGGAGGAAAGGAAAAATCAGAACCAGGTTTCCAATGATTGCACAGAATTTCGTACTTTTTCGAATCAGGAAGACTGGACACCAGATTTACGTAGTTGTATACATCATCTGGCCACGAATTGGTAGAAGTTCGTTGTGTTTTGGTGTCAGATTTTTCTGAAGTAGGACCAGTGTTGGGAGTTACAGATGAAATTCCTTTACTAATACTGGGAAATTTGATTTCACTGTCTACACTTTCTTGTGTGTTGCATGCTCGTTTCACAAGAAGCGCATCGATCTAAGCTAATTTGTTTTCTTTTTGTACCAGTCGTCTGCTTTTTAGTAGATGTAGTCACTTGTGTAGAGGAAGGAGCAGAAGAACTTGCTAGAACGAGAGGCCTTGTCTAGAGTTTTTGAACAGCATAAAAGCACTAGCTGTGCTGAGTGGTTATATTACTACCTTAAAAAACAAGCAGAAACTCGACGTTTCGAGCGAAGGCCCTTCGTCAAGAGTTAGTAGCCACTCGTTGACGAAGGCCCTTCGTTGACGAAGGGCCTTCGCTCGAAACGTCGAGTTTCTGCTTGTTTTTTAAGGTGGTAATATATTAACCACTCAGTACTACCTACACTGGTAGAGACAGTTTTAATAAATGTACTAGGCAAACATGAAATTCTGAACAGTTTTCTTCACCACAGACAATATCCAAATATACATGTTGTACTTACTCCATTCGTAAAAAATCCTTTACTTCTACTGTAAGCACTACTTCCTGCTTTATTACTGGCGAGAACACGAACATAATATTTTGTCGATGCGTTCAAATTTTTGACAACCCATTCTTTTTTAATTGTGGTATATATTTTGAAGCAAGGGCCATTTTCTGAATGTGAAACACACGCAGTGTAAGTGATAATGACGCCATTTTGTTTATCTTTCTCAGGAGGATCCAGGTGAAAGACAATGATGATGTGCTTCTTGATGAGGTTTTGATGTTCAATGGAGGACCGTTTGGAGCCAAACGATAAAACCGAGGTTTGTATTTAAATGTAAAATAAGTCAGACATTTTGAATAATTATACAGTGAGCCACATTAGATGAGCTCTGATTTAGTTTTCTGGTCTTTTTTGCTGTTCTTTATTGCTGTCGGCAAAAAACGTTTTGGAGAATAAACAAACTGGATAAAGATTAAAGGACATTAAAACGTTAACACTCACCTTCTTCAGATGTGAGGAACGAAGTAGTGGTCTTTTCACCAAAACCATGTTTATTTCGAGCTGCGACTGATATTTCATATTTAGCGTATAAAGTGAGATTATCTAAATCGTATTGGATGACTTTATCTGTGGTAGCATTCACGATTAGGAAGGTCTTTTTTTCAATTTAATCCAAAATCCTGTAAGATCTCCATCTCCTGTGTTCTCTGGATCTAGCCAAGATATTTCAGCACTTCTTGATGTGATGTTAGCAACCGCGAGGTTTGTAGGTTTATCTGGGAACAGGGCTAGAAAGAAAGGGATTATAGTAAAATAACATTTTCATTTGTTTGTGCTAGGATACATGTGCTGTGGACACATTGATCATAAAAAATAATAATAAAGTGTTAATTTATCCTCTTTAATGGCAAAAGAAAAATAACTTACTATAGCACCACAGATCTGGATTCTCGTACACGGTTCACCTACATATGTTAATGGAATAAATCGTAAAGCTCTTGTTGTTATGCCTTCAGGGAAATATTGTATAGCTGCATCATTGTAAGCGGTTTTGTTTCCTTGAAATATCTAAAGACCAAAAATATTTTTTTTCTTTAAGTTATGTTATGTTATATTATACCGTTATGTCCCGCAACAAACCTATATATATTATCAAATGAGTGTAAACCGAAAAAATAATAAACAGCAATTACTCTTTTGTTCCATACTGATTTACAATTTATCAAATCAACAGTGAAGTCCAAGTTATATGTAGCCACCCACTTGGAACTGGTACTATCTCCAAATATTGCCAGATAATACAAAACATAAAGTCTTCCAAAGTCCAATTGAAGATAATGTTTGCCATCCGAAACAGGAGCACACCAAGAACTGCCACTAGATATTTTTACATCAGAAGCACTGTGACCTTCTGAAGAAGCTGAGGTAGTGAATGACGAATATGGAAATCTTTGTTTGTCTCCTAGCAGGGGCCGTGGACAAATATGACCTAAAATATGGAAATTAGGTCTTACGAACTTTGTTTTATCTCTTTCATTCATTATGTTCTTCCATAACCTTAGTCACATGAAGGTCATCCTTTTTGTAAAAACTTTAAGTATGATAAATTCGAACAACTTTGGGAAGAAGTGGTAACCGAACATTGAGATAATTTTATATCACCATCATCACACACTATACTTCCAGAAAATATTTCATCTTTTAAATCCGATGGAGCGACCTTTTGAACGAGTGAATTTGCTTCTTTGTAACTCAATTCACGACAAACAACATCCTTTGCGTTTCCTAAACTTTGCCAACATACATTCTTGATCCCACTGTCAGTTGTAATTTTTACAAAACCTTTATTTGGTAGAGATGAATATGATAAAAACACAGCATCAACTACAGAAGGAAAACAAGAAAAAGTTTGGGCAAGTCTTCACAGTTTATGTGATTTGGTAACCTGTGAATTTCGGCAAAAATTTGTCTTTTGAAAGTTAAGAAAATATGTTCAGTGTGAAACAATTGATGAACAAGCGAAGATTAATGTGCTGCTGGTTTACGGTGAATTGATTTATGCCATTGGGTGGTCGCCATTGATTACTTTCGCATTTACAATAGAAGTAGAAAGGTTCAGATTTGACTTCCACTACCGTTACCATTAACCAATCAGACACGTTTAATCTACACGAATCAAATGCGTATTAAGCCACTGACAGGTAGCAGTAGTGGAAGTCAAATTTGAACCTCTCTATTCTCATTAGTCATATACATACCACAAAGATTATTAAAAGACGTCGCTGTATCATTACATTGATATTCAAAGTAAAGATATTTTGCCAATCCAGGACATGGATCACCAGAGAACAAGGTTTCATTCACAGTTATATTACACTCATGTTGACCATCACATTGTTTCTTAACAAGACATGTTACGTTAACTTCACAACTATAATCATCACTCAAACCACATGTCTTTTTGGGCAGCAATCCACAGTACGATGCATTCTTGACCACCATGTACTGATCTTTAGGACAGTTGGCATTCTCTACCATATCTCCATAGCACGTCACTGAACCTAGAACAGAACGAAAATTTAGAAATGACGAGCACTATTATAAATGACAGTAACAAGTAGGGCAAGAGATTTCGTTGAACGGCATGGCGATGTACACAAAATGCAAAACACCATCGCTGGACATGATATGCAGAAATTCAGCGTTATATGAAATATCTGGAACAACCATAGAGTCTTCATTGGGATTTCTTTGAAAAGAAAAATCTAAAATCTAATTATACGTGGAGTTAAGAAAGGCTCTGTCTTCGGACCGCTACGTTTTATTTTCTTCATCGATGACATAAAATATATACAGTTTTTGCTTTTATGGTCAAAGTTAATAAGGCGTCAGCAGTTCCCGAGATAATTGAGTCATTCTGATCTTATATGTATGAAGAAGGTAGGCCTATAAAGCTTTTACTATATACACCTAAGTCTTAATACAAGTGGTTTACGTCTAGCCTCTAGGCTAGCTTAGCGGCAATGGTTAGTGAGAAATTTAAAAAGTAAATATGAAATGCAGACTGCAAAATCACAAATAAGAACTTTTTATGTGCAAAGACATCAAACAAATTAACTGCATACAAATAAAAACAATTTACCAAAATTAAAACGTTTATCCTCTGCATCGGTACAATTTGTCAATCCTATGTAGGGATCTATTCCTTGACTTGTAGCAAGTCGATCATCTGTTTCAGGGACTGCACACTGCGTTTGAGAATTATAGTATACAGATAAACCTCCCCAAGAGGTCTGGGTTATAGCATGGTCTTGACGACAATTAGCTGAAAGATTTGTAGCAAGAAGCATATACAACATAACAAGATTATAACCATGACGATTCCTAATGTTGCCTCGAAACATCCCTTTCTTTCCAAATTTAACATAGCACTATTATCAAGAAACCGAGACTGAGCAGCTGGATCCAGACAGTTGTTGGAAAGTTCCACAAAAGTTAAGATTCCCCAAGACTCGTTCGCCTCTAGTAGTCTTGTGTCATTTGTACACATCCCTGTCTGTACATGTTTCACAAAGAAACAAACAGCGCCTGAAACAAAACAAAAAACCCAAAATAAATAACGAAGCAAATAATGGACCCATGTTGCATGTCTGTGTGCTTGTGTTTATATGAAGTATCGTGTAAATAAAAGGTTGTTGATGGCACAGTGTCTTTCACAGCTCATTTATATGACTTATATCACATAAGTATATTTCATTTGTCTAAACATGCATCAAGCTAATGCAAGCTAATTAACAAAATTGATTGGCTGTTCAGTCACTGCTGTACATTGTTTATTGCAAGCAGTTTTTCTGACTCATTCCTGATCAACTCCGCAATTGGATGAATTAATGGCAATGAAGTTTAATTAAATCTTTAATATCCAGACTGCAGTGTATAGTTAGTCGCTGGGGCACCCTGCGACTATAGATTTCGGCACGCAGTTTTGGTAGATGTCGGATAGAGGATCGTCGTCGATAGCCACAAAATAGAATATTAATAAGCAAGATGGCCGCCGCCTTTAAGGAGTGATCCGAGTGGTCGCCGGGCGATTTGTATTGCAAACTGTTTCGTCATGTTTAAGCAATTTTGAAGTAAGTTTTACGCCAAAGAGGTGAGAAAGTCAGGGAGGAAACCTTTTAAAACGCAAATAATTTGCAGTCCGGCTTAAAATAATATGAACACAGGGTTTATCAAATAGATATTATTCTTACAGACGCACTGGGTGCAGTTTTAATTTGGCAAACTGCTTTGATACAATACCAAAATCTTTCGTTATCTTTGTAGTATATACGTCATATATTGTTTGCGTGCATGATATATTGAACTTAGACACAGGTCATTAGCTAGGTCACATTTAACCATATATTTAACTCGCTGATTTAACTCCGTAGACATGCATGTTCGTCGTTGCTAGTGTTTAAGTTAAATTTACTATTACTGGTTTCAGTGTCATTGTGTAGACGCGGGGGCGTCGCTAGCCCTGTTTTAATGGAGGGGTTTAAGTGCAATTTTGCCGACTTATCTCAAAAACGAATTAATATTTCTTTTCCCGAAAATGTTCCTTTCTCGGTTAACAGACCGTCATTCGGTAATTTTTCCTTTTTTCATACATTTTCAAAAATGTTTCGCTATGAATATTAGTTTGTAATCAGTGAATTTCAAGTCAATTTTTTAGTTTTTTTCTTCCTGCATGTCCAACTCAATTTTTGCCGTCTACGAAAACAATTTTCTGACTGGGGTTCAATGGTTTGCGGAATGTCTGCAGGCTATTGGGGGTGTTATCCTAGCCACACCCCCCCACTTTAGCGACGTCCCTGTGTGCTAGACGATGGCAAATAGTTTATTCTGCCCTGAAATCGTGCGAAACACTTTAGTCTATCTTTCTCTTCGGAAAGGTCTAATTCTCTTACGCAGTCGCACAGACCGCAGTTTGAATTTGACGAACTGTCCTGATATACCACCGAAATGTTTCGTTCTCTACGTATTGATCTTTGTGAGATCGAACTCAGACCGCAGAGATCACTAGAATAAACTTACTGATTTCATGCGCAGAATGCAGACATGGTTTGTTTTGCTACGAAATCGTGTGAAACACTATCTTTCTTCTCGCGAGGCTTTAATAATAATCTCTTACAGACGGGCTGGGTGGAGTTTTAATTTGGCAAACCACTTTGATACACCACCGAAACTATGTTTCGTTATCCTTGTAGTATATACGTTTATATATTGTTTGCGTGATATATTGAACTTAGACACAGGTCATTTGCTGGGCCACATTTAAGTAGCTGACTTAACTCCGTAGACGTGCATGTTTGCTTGGGAATCGTTCGAAATACTTCTCTCACGAAGCATTGTTTTATTACACAGAAGTTATAATGATGCGTCTAGGTGGAGGCGAAGAATACCGTATTCTTGCCTTCCAGCCTTCGACGCATGCCCTAACTATAGCTAGTTAAGTTCGGTTTTAACTTTGCCAGTTGCAACATAACACCATGCAGTCGATCATTCAAACTTCAAGAATCAATATTTTCGGGAAAACAAACGCGCTCTTCAGCGGTTTTCTTGTACTTAAAGTTGCATATTTCCATAGTCCCAGGAACTTAACGCTCCGTGGAGCGTCTTGTTTAGATTTATAATCATTGCCACTTATTATGAGGTTTGATTCAGCACAGAAGTGACTGCGTGTTTGAAAGCACATGAAATGTAAATGCATGTTATAAACGACAGAAAACGTACCTTGGAGTGACAGGAAAATCATGGTCAGTATTGCAAAATGAAAACACTTTGAAAACATCTTCTTTAATTGAGGAAGACTTCAATTCAAGTACGCGTTATGAAAGCGGAACAAGAATTGGACCAACGAGGCGAAGCAAAATAACAGCCGAAATATTGAATTCCAATTACAATTAAGATATATATTTTGGCACCATCATCATTTTCATCCTTACCTGAAGTTATAGAAAGGATTAAGAATATTACTATGTATTTAAAAATGTTTAACTTGTTTAGCCTACGTCAGAACGTGCATTGTTGTGCGATTAGATATATTTATTTTATATCTTAGGCATCGTGTGTGAAAATTCTTATAAACGGCTGGGTAGCTTAAGTATATATATTATCTTGGCTAATGCCAGAAGTTTTCATTTTTGAGAAATTAGACAAGGGAAGAAGCACTTCAATTCAAGTACGCGTTATGAAAGCGGAACACGAATTGAACCAACGAGGCGAAGCAAAATAACAGAAATATATTTATTGAAAATCGGCGTGAAGACTGTGGTGCTTTTGAAATTCCATGAATAACAAATATCAAACATTCCTAAATCAGGAACTGCAATGTTAGCACGGCTATAGATTGTGCATTTCAGAGGAAATGACAACAATTATCTCGTAGGCTATATTGGTAATTTTCTATTCAAGTCGAAAGCGCTCAGTTTGGTTGTTTAAAAAAGGTATATGCTGAGTTGTTTTCTATAATGAGCTTTTCCAACATAGATAAACGAAATGCATGCAGTTCCAATGTTTTTTAATTGAACGTCTTAAACATTGAAAACGTATCAGCCCAAAAAATTTAACCTGTACATGTCTATAGATGTTGAAAACCATTAAAACTCTTGATGAAAAGTGAACGTATAGAAATGCACGACTATAGTACTAAATGGCGGCTTTAAATTAAATGATAATGAATATATAGGAAGATGTAAAATTACGTCAAACTGAACAAAGATTTGAAGAGGGTAACTATATACCTAGGCTACGGCAAAGTTTGTTCACTCTACCAAAATGTAGGCCAGAGCAAGGATCAGGCCATGTCTAGTTTGCAAATCAGCTAGTGTATAGATTATGTTTAGTGTATTTTAGATATATAGTGATAACAGTCTAAGTTATTAATACAAATTGATACTTTTCTATTCAAGTCGTAAACATTCAGTTTGGTTATTTAACAAATGTATGCCGACTTGTTTTTCTATACTGAGCTTATTCACTAGATAAACCAAAGGGGCTTCGTATAAGAGCCCCCTTAAAGTCCAGTTTCCTTCGGAATCACGTAGTCCGTGTGTCCTTCATTTAGATGGGCATATAGATGAACGTCATTTTCTTGCTCACCAGGGCCAGGTCTTTTGAGAGCTGTATACGTCAACTCTTCATTTTCCATGTCTTCATAATTCGCATCATCATTGTCAGGATTTTCATCAATTTCTTCTAAATTACTTCTGTCCTTGTTATTGTTCTCCGGGTTTCGCTTTGATGATTTGAGTCGACGTACTTGGTAGATTAAGTATGCAATAATCACGAATGATATGACCAGCACAATTGCTAACACTATTATTATACCAGCAAGATATTTCTCAGAACCATCATCATTTTCATCCTTGCCTGAAATTTGAAAGGACTAAGAATATTACGATGCAGTAAACAATGAGACTATATGTGCATGCACACGGTAAAGTTTTCGCTGGCTAACACTTGCAGATATAAACGTTTAAGATATAAACGTTTGTAGGAAAATATGTAGACTCATGAATTCTTTAAGTAAAATATAAAGCATGAGCAACCGATCTGTATTCTTCTAACCAATCGAGAAAAGCGAAGCTAAAGTTTATGTAAATCAAGACGAAATCTGTATCCGATTTACAAATATTTCTTAAAGTTATTCCTTTCTTTTATTCAATACGTTTTAATGCAAGGCAACACTTACGTTCATTTGTAAATTTTCCTATAGTTTCACTGTAGTTTCCAAAACCGACTTTAGTACTTGCAAGAACACGAACATAATATTTGGTTGAGGCAATTAAGTTTCTGATAATTAACATCTTTTGCTTTGTAGTTTGCTCTTTAAAGCAAGGTTTATTTCCTTCATGTGAGATACACACAGTATAGTTGACGATCATGCCATTTCTTTTGTCTTTTTCAGGAGGTTCCCACGTGACAGATAATGATGATGAGCTTTCTGCCGTCACTGCGACATTCAGTGGAGGACCTTTTTTTGTGAAATAAGATGTTGTATTAGTTAGAGGTGTATGGGGAGGGGGATTGGTTGGTAATAATGCATGACAATTCTGCTGAATCTTAGTCGTGATGTGCGAGAATACCACCATTGTGTGTGAGAGTTGTTGCATTTGCAGATAACCAACATGGTATACTACTACGTTTTCTTGGAGAACCAGCCACGCTGGCTAACGCTTACAGATAGAAAGATTCCAAAAGTTGGACATAAATAAATAAATAAAAAATAAAACGAACATCAGATTAATTTTAGATCAATTAGGTCATAATCTGTAATGATTACAAATGTTTTGTTATGTACAGTTTCATACCATTAAATAAGGAACAGTCTATCAACTTATTTAAAAGTGCAAAAGCAACTGCTGATTTTGTAAGAAATGAAAGAAAGCTTCACTTCTGAAGATTCACGATTGTCTGCGTTTTAATCTGCTTTATTTCACCTTCTTCAGATGTTATGAATGAAGTAATGGTCTTTTCACCGAGACTGTTTTGATTCCCAGCAGCCAGGGATATTTCATATGTAGTGAATGGAGTGAGATTGCCTAATTCGTATTTGTTCACTTTATTTGTGGTAATATTCAGGATAAGGGAGTTCTCTTTTTGGAGTTGAATCCAAAATTCTGTAAGATTTCCATCTCCTGTGTTCTCTGGATCTAGCCAAGATATTTCAGCACTTCTTGACTTGATGTTTGTGAACGTGAGGTTTGTAGGTTTATCTGGAAACCGAGCTAGAAAGAAAGGAGGTGAAAGTGTAAGATATATTACTTGCATCTGTATAAGCTTGCTGGATGTACACGTCGTGCTAGGCAAGAAAGTTTCTCGATAATAAGGATAATACTGGTAGATGGTCGTATTATTATTATATACTAAAGATAGCATGAGCTGGTGATATACATGGAAGCTTATCAACAATTCTATGCAACAAAATATGAATAGTCCCACTTATTCCTTTAATTTAAATATATGTAGAATTATCAATAGAATTATCAATATGTAATAACTTACTAGCTCCACAGATTTCAATTCTCGTACATGGTTCACCTTCATATGTTAATGGAATAAAGCGTAAAGCTCTTGTTGTTATCCCTCCAGGGATATCTTGTATGGCTGCATCATTGAAAGCGTCTTTGTTTCCCGAGATCTAAAGACAATTATGCAATAAAGAAATATTACTATTCTTTAAGTTATACCGTTTTCGTCTCATCGCAAAATATATTATAAAATGTATTAGCCTGAAATTAGCGTAAATAGCAATTACCGCATGGTCCCGAACTGATTTCCAGTTTATCAAATCCACAGACTGAGTGTAGTTCAAATTGTATGTGGTCACCCATTTTGGGCTAGCAGTGTCACCAAATGTTACGAAATTATATATCACATGAAGTCTTCCTACGTCTACTTGAAGATAATATTTGCCATCCGAGACAGGAGCACACCAAGAACTATCACTAGATATTCTTACATCAGAGGGACTGCGACCTTCTGAAGCTGAGGCAGTGAACGACGAATCTGGAAATCTTTGTTTGTTTTCTAACAAAGGTCTGTCACAAATAAAACCTAAAATATAAGAAATAAATGTTACGTTCTTTATATTCTCTGCTTTCTTCCATTCGTGTATTCTTTCTGTGTAAAACTTACATTTTATGTAAGAAATCTCAGAACATTTCTTGGTGGAAGTAGCATTCATGGAACATTGAGATAAGTTTTTCTCTCCACCATTGCACTCTATACTTCCAGAAAATATTGTATTTTGGTTTGATGGAGGGACTTTACTAACATGAGAGGCCATTCTCGTGTAACCCAATTGACGACAAACAATATTTGCGGTCTGGTTCTTTAAGCTTTGCCAACAAACATTCTTAGTCCCACTATATTTGGTCACTATCTGTACAAAACCTTCGTTTGGTAAAGTTGAATACGACAAAGACACGCCATCCACTATAAAATCAAACCAAGAAAAAATCAAAACTGTTAACTTTAGTTCGTTTAACTGCATGAAGAATGTGGAACTCAACTTGGTACAAAAAACCTTTCCAGTCAGGAAACCAATCAATAAACAAGCGAATGACTTAATATGAAGATGGCTTAAGGTAAAGTGGACATTGAATGGGGGAACAGTTACGTTTATGAACATGATGTACTATGTGTGATAGACGTATACTTTCCATTGATGATAAATGGCCTACTACAGGATACAATTGTCAAACGTACAGTACCACAAAGATATGGTGTTGATGCATCAATACATTGATATTCAAAGTGAAGATATGTTGACAATCCAGGACATAGATCACCAGAGAACAAGTTATCGTCCACAGTTATAGTACACTCATGTTGACCATCACATTGTTTCTTAACAAGACATGTTACATCAACTTCACAACTATAATCATCACTCAAACCACATGTCTTTATGGCAGGCAATCCACGGTACGATGCAGTCTTGACCACCATGTACTGATCTTAGGACAGTTGGCATTCTTTGTCATATTTCCATGACATGTCACTGAACCTGGAACAGAACAAAAAATTCGAAATGAAGAGGTTGGATGCATACAAAATGCAAAACACGATTGCTGAACATGATATTCTTATACAGAAATTCAGCATTATATGAAATATTTGGAACAACTATAGAGTCTTTCTCGTGATTTACTTAATAAGGAAAATCTAATTATACGTAGAGTTCAACAAGGCTCTGTCTTCGGACTGCTACGTTTTATTTTCTTCATCAAAATATATACAATTTTTGCTTTTGTGGACGAAGTTAAGGTGTCAGCAGTTCCCGAGGTACTTGAATTATTCTTATATGTATAAAGAAGGTATAAAGCTTCTATAATATACAGCTATAAGTCTAATTAATACAAGTGGTTTACGTCTAGCCTCTAGGCTAGTTTAGCTTCAATGGTGGGTGAGAAATTTAATAAGTAATCATGAAATGCAGACTGCAAAAACACAAATAAGAACTTTTTATTATTACATTACATTATGATTCAGCTCACTCCCCATTGGGGCTTTTCAGTGACCGATTACATCAAGTATTACGCTTATGTTACTTAGTTAGCCTAGAGTATTTATCTTTACAACAATTGAGATATTACTTTGCTAACTGTATTTAACCCAGCCTGTCAACTTTCCCTGTGGGAGGAAACCGGAGCACCCAGAGAAAACCCACGACTTTCGGCAGAGCGTCGACTGACTCTTTTCACATGAGTCTGTAGCGAGAATCAAACCCACGATCTCAGAGGTGAAAGTCGCCGACGACTGCGCCACCGAAGCCCCCAAAGACATCGAACAAATTAACTGCATACAAATAAAAACAACTTACCAAAATTAAAACGTTTATTCTCTGCCTCGATACAATTTGTCGTCAATCTGATGTAGGTATCTATTCCTAGATTTGTAGCAAGTCGATCATCTTTACCAAGGACTGCACAGCGTGTCCCTTTAGTAGTTAAATAATATGCAGATAAACCTCCCCAAGAGGTCTGGGTTATAGCTTGCTCCTTATCACGACACGTAAGTGAAGGATCTGTAGCAACGAGCAAATACAACATAGGAAGATTATAACCAAGACCACCCCTACTTGCTCCCTCGAAACATCCCTTTCTTTCCAAATTGAACATGGCGCTATTATCAAGAAACCGAAACTGAGCAGCTGGATCCAGACAGTTGTTGGAAAGTTCTACAAAAGTCAAGTTTCCCCAAGCCTCGTTCGTCTGTAGTATTCTTGTGTCATTAATACACATCCCTGTCTGCACATGTTTCACAAAGAAACAAGCAGCGCCTGAAACAAAAATAAAAATAAATAACGAAGTAAATAATGGACTCCTGTTGCGTGTCTGTGTGCTTGTGTTTATATGAAGTACCATGTAAGTAGATGGTTGTTGATGGCACAGTGTCTTTCACAGCTCATTTATATGACTTATATCACATAAATATATTTCATTTGTCTAAACATGCATCAAGCTAATGGAAGCTAATTAACTAAACGGATTGGCTGTTTAGTCAATGGTGTAGTAGCTACTGGTGTAGCTACATTGTAGTTATTCCAATTTCCAAACAGTTATTCTGGTCCATTCTTCAAATAATTCCAATGAAGTTTAAGCAAACCTATGTCTCCGTGCCTATGTAAAGACTGTAAAATGTCAAACTACCTCACCCGCCCCAATTTAGCCATTTCGGTAAATATAATCCGTAATTTCATACGAATGTGGATACGGCTGAGGACAAACACATTGCAATATGTTCATTTCATTGTAATCAATACACAATTTTATTGCTAATTTTATTGAGTTTTGCTTTATTTGTGAAAATAATGAATTTTTTGTAAATAATGAAAATTTTAGGCGGTAGCTTTTGAGGGCGGTGGACGCAAATCTATGACTTTCATTCCCATGGCCTAGTGGGCATTTCACAGTATAAATATTCTTCAATTCTTGTACTCAATTGAAGAATTGAAAGGTCGCCAAAATAATTTTTCCGGAAAAAATTTTTTTGGTACTAGTCGGGCAGAATCCCCGAAAAGTCGGGCAATTTTCTTTCCGCCCCCCTAATTTTTTCCTTCCGGTACGCCCATGCATTCACTGATGCAAAATGGCTGAAAATGGATGCAAGCCAAATCTACCGTGACGTAGGTGATGCATTGACTTTCTACTGCGACGTCAAGGATGTGGTAAAATTATTGACGCTTAATTAAGTGTTGCAAAATAAAGTAAATAAACGGAAAGTACACATTTGCGATCGCACGTCCGCATATTGGACTTTATATTTTGACAATTTCGACTGTTATTGAGACTATTTAATTTGGATTTCATTTTAAATAGCGTATTCCTGGAAAGGAATCAATATTAAGCAAAGATTTTCGGTTTGATAGGAGATATTTTATTATTGAGTGCTTGACTATTGGCGTCTTTGGCGACACGCCGACACCATGTCTATATATTATTTCAAGCAACAGGATTTCTCAACTTTGACTGATGCATTCGCATCGCTGGCATCGGTCTGGATCCGCCCCTAACCCTAACCCTGGCAAACTGCAAGAATCAATATTTTCGAAAAACAAATCAGTCTTTTTTAGTGCTATACTATCCATGAGGAAGCGTCTTGTTTAGATTTATAACCATTGCCACTTATTATGAGCCGGTTAAGTTCGGCACGGAAGTGACTGCGTGTTTGAAATCACATGAAATACAAATACATGTTATAAACGACAGAAAACGTACCTTGGAGTAACAGAAAAATCACAGTCAGTATTACAAAATGAAAACACTTTGAAAACATTTTGTTTGATTGAGGAAAGCACTTCAATTCAAGTACGCCTTATAAAAGCGGAAGAAGATATTAACCAATTAACGAGGCGAAGTACTAACATAAATAATATTAAAACTCAGCAGGAAATCTGTGGTGCTTTTGAAATTGCATGAATAACAAATTACAAATACCAAACATTCCTAAATGTTTCTTTGTTGTAAACTGCTTGACTGTTCAGTCGCTGCTGTACATTGCAGTACATTGTTTATTGCAATCAGTTATTCTGATCCATTCCTTAAAAATTTAACTTCACAACGGCAGAGTTTCAGTTAGTGCCAGTGGAGTTTAAAGGTGCGGTACAGTCCGTATGTAAACAAGGGCTTTGTTTACATTTCGGTATCCAAAATAATGAATTTTATTCGACAACTATTTATATTTTCATGATTCTAGGGTATAATAAATTATCAACAGACAACAATCAAGCTTTCACAAGAACATAAAATGAAATAAAAACCTAAATAAACTGTTTGTAAATAAAAAGAGGGCTCCTTTGTGCACATGCGCAGATCGGACTGTACCGCATCTTTAATCGTACCCTTCACATCAAGACTGTAGTTTTAGTAGTTTTGAAATATAGTCATTACCACTATTATTAGATAAGTAAATACTGCTAGCAGCGCTGCATATTTGAAATGCGTGTTATCAACGACAGAAAACGTACCTTGTAGTGACAGGAAAAACTGGAAAATCCAAACCAATATTACACACTGGTAACACTTTGGTAACACTTTGGTTCTCTAATCTAGGAAACACCTCATAATTCGGGAAACAAGATGTTAGAATTTACGTTGTAAACGTGGAACGCGAAATGAATCAATGTAGCGAAACAAGATCAGATAAATATTCGTTCAAACTCAACATAAATAATCATAATTGGCTGTAATTGCATGCACGAATAACAAATATCAAACATTTCTAAATGTTTTCTTGATGTCTGTTGTGGTTTAATGGCAACATTTACGAACGCTTAAAGACTTCAGCTAACACATAATGGAAAGTAATGTGTGTCTGCCTATTCATATTCAAAGTATTTTTTGAGCAGGAAGTTTAGTCAAGTCAAAGATTTTATTTTCACAATTTTTTTTATTCTCAGATATGCACAAAAAGCACTTGCATCCTGCTGTGATGTTATGGTGTAGCAATTTTAAAGTTTGGAACAAATAATTTGGAACATTCTTGCAGACATATTGATTCTCCCTTGCCTAATATTGGTGTGTTTTACTAATCACTATCGTGCAGCAGATGGTGGGCAACCTGAAGTTATATCAGAGTGAGAAAATAATGTCAAATCTTGTCGTTATATTTGTATTGATCTAGAGGTCTAGACTGTTCTGTTTGATGACAAAATAAGTAAAAGAGAGATTTAGTTTCTTTTCCTTGCTCCTGTCACTGTCGACATTTCTGACTTTGACCACCATCTGCTGCACACCACTTGAAGAACTCGAGGTGATTGTGAAACATAGTTTGTGAAGCATAGGCATTCAAAGGAATGATAGAGATTCGTTCCTTCGAATGTCTTTGATTTTAATAGGCAGGCCAAGGCCGACAATCCCAGTGTCGCAGTGCCAATTTGTGAGTCCAGATTTTCTGATCAAGATCAGGTCTAGGGTAGGCTAATGTTTGTTTACACCTGCCTCCTCCGCAGGCTCCTCTATATAGATCAAATTTAAATATCGGTAATATATAGATCAGCGCGTGCACTGCAAGCCCGATAAAGACGCACGCCTTTAGGCGCACGCCCGCAACTAAGGACGAGCCCATCGTCCCGCGCGCCCCCATTAATTTTCGTCTTTTCCTAATTAATTATTTGATAGCAAGCGACTGGGGACGAGGCAGTGTTTACACTACCATAATGTAGGTCAAAGTAAGAATCAGGCCATGCCTAGTTTGCAATGTAAACACTACTATAAATTATAGTTAATGTATTTCGGATATAATGATTAAACCATTATTTTCTATGAATAATGGATTTCATCCCGACCAACCGTGTATTCTTTGCTCGTGATTTTGCTATCTAACCCTAACTCATCTATGAATACAGTTACAGTAACTTGTTTGCCTGGATATACTGTTGGTGGTTCGTTTTTGACGGTTGTTTGTGGTCGTTGTTGATCGTTCGTTTTTGAAGCAGGACTCCAGTCTGTGGAGTAATATTCACTCTAAAGTAAAGTAAAGCAAGAAAATGAAAATTTATCAGTGTTGTTATAAATACACAAAAGACTTTATCACGTTGTTCTTACCATGTTTGGCATCTGTGTCAATGCCAAATTTCTTTTAGTAGAGAAATCAGACAAGGAAATATTTACTTCTAAAATGTGATAACCAACAAATACCATACCTTGTCATTAATAAAAATCCTTTGAAAAATACTGTAACTAGTATCAGGTTCCAACGGACCATTGTAGTAATCACTTGAGATTGATCTGCGTCTTCGTGATGTTGGATCACTTATATTTCCATCTTCACCAAGTATAAATATGTTTTCATCCTTTGATGTTACTACTGCAGCGATATAAGGTTTCGGGTCGCTTGATTGTTCCGCCTCAGCGTACGTCACGAACTCATTGTTTCCGTAACTTGCTGGAGATCGACCTTTCTTCCCGTCTTTTAATTCCAAAGCCACAACGTAAAAGTGCCTACAAATAAATTTCTATATGTGATAAAATGCACAAGGTAAATTCACAGAACAGCCTTAACGTCCAGTGCAGGTCGTTATCGCGAGATGCAATATTTCTGTGTCATTTTTCAAACGTTTTCGACTTACGTGAATTTTTGTGAAGGAATCTGCAAGGAGAAAGTCAGTGTATATGCTGTTCCATTTGTGGACACGTCTGGTTGTTCTATAAGAAAATATGTAGATTTGGTAAAACATGATAAAACTACAAGCCTCATGCATGTTTATAAAAATTGCATTATATAGTAACTGTACAGTTGATTATACAGAATTTTTTCCAGAATTTTGCTAATGGCTGGCAGGACAGAAATTGGTCTGTAATTTCCTGCCACATTACGTTGGCCATTGTTGTATAGAGGTATTACTCTAGCCATTTTCCATTCATCAGGGAATGAGGACAGAGTAATGGCCTGATTAAAAATATGTGTTAGTGAATCTGAAATAGCAGGTGAAGCAATCTTAATAATTTTGCAAGAAATTTTGTCGACACCTGTGGCTTTGTTGCTTGAGAGACCATGCAGTCAGAAGTTGGTAGACGTGATTGACCGTGACAGGTTGGAATGCGGTGAATTCTGATTCAGTATTTTTGACATATGTTTCAAGGTTCAAATTTGAAGTATTAATTTGGCTAGCTAAATTTGGGCCAATATTTGAAAAATAATCATTAAAACCCAATATCTTTAGGGTTAGTTAAACTATTTTCACCAAGTTTTAGCTCATTTACAATTGTTGGTTTGTTTTGCCTTCCCAATAAACTGTTTATGGTCTTCCAAGCTTCCTTATATAGGAAAATGCATTTACTCATAGGCGTACCGGGCGGGGGGGCGGGGGGGGCGGCAGCCCCCCCAGTTTTTTGGGCAGTCGGGCAATATTCGATCAACAGTCGGGCAATTTTGGCTTGCAATAAAAAAAAATGTGACAAATTCTGTAAATTTAGTCTAAAATTAAGTCAATTTGTTGGCAAATTTTGAGATTTTTTGAAAATTTTGGGTATGTTCCGAAAAATAGGGGGGCGGGGGGAGGTCGCCAAAAAAATTTTTCCGGAAAAATTTTTTGTGGTACTAGTCGGGCAAAATCCCGAAAAGTCGGGCAATTTTCTTTCCGCCCCCCTAATTTTTTCCTTCTGGTACGCCCATGCATTTACTGATAAATATAGACGATTGTTTTTAACAAGCGCGAGCGTACTGACAATAAAGTATAATGCGTCTCAACACAAGTTATTGCATGTTGTATGTATTAATATTTAATAAGCCATTTTTAGCTAATTTCTTCAGTTCCAAAAATGTTTACACCTGTTTATATGAATGTATCTTTGTCAATATGGCATCGAAGTGTGCATGGCATACATCAAAATTTAAGTTGGATATCGCTGAATGCCAATAAACTTGTTATATATAATATATATAATTATATATATATATATATATATATATATATATATATATATATATATATATATATATATATATATATATATATATATATATATATATATATATATATATATATATATATATATATATATATACATATTATTATTATTATTATTTAAAAATATTTTAAAACGGTAACCCTTCAGGGCTCAAATATACACCTGCTTTTCAAGGGGCCGTTTACATGCATCACACTAATAAAATTTCCTAATATAATATTACACACATATTAAAGCTTGGATAAAAATATTTACAAACAAGTATATGTATAGTACTGAAATCATGTACCGTCAAGAATACATTTAAATTTGTTTAAGCCAATGCCTTTTTCTTTAGCTGCAGTGGGCAAGCTGTTCCAAAGTGATGCAGCAGAGTAACTAAAGCTCTTTTTCATAAAGTTTGTTTCCGGCTTTTCAAGTGTATAGTTGTTATCATTACTTCGCAAGTTATACCTATCATTATTTGCAATTTTGAACATGTTTGTTAAAGCGGCATTTCTTAGTTTATGCAAGAAGCTCGTCTTATTGTTTTTGTATCGATTTTTAAGGGGTTGCCAGTTTAACTCTTTTAAAACGTTCTCAGAACTTACATCGTATGTGCTACCAGTGATAATTCGCGCTGCTCTATTTTGTAATTCTTGAAGTTTATCAATTAGATATTCACAACAGTTGCCCCATACCAAGCTACAATAATCAAAGTGTGACAACACAATTAATGGCATTGTAGATTTTCAATAATGTTGATTTGGGAACAAACTGTTTCATTCTTCGCATCATCCCTATTCCTTTTGAAACTTTCGTTACAGTATTTTGAATTTGGTCGACCCATGAAAGACGCTCGTCAATAATGACTCCTAAAGTTTTTGATTTATGAACACGTTTAATTTCTGACTCACCGAGTTCAATTTTAGGATCCCCTATTTTATTTGATATACGTTGTCGTGAGCCGATAATCATATATTCAGTTTTTTGTTTGTTGAGTGTAAGTTTGTTTGCAAGTAGCCATTGATGCACATTTTCTAAGTCTGTGTTTAAGCGTTCTTGTATTTCATTGCCAGTATCACCGTGAGTTGAAATGTTTGTGTCATCAGCAAACATGCTTGCTGAAGACAGACTCAGACAATTTGGTAGGTCATTTATATAAAGCAAGAACAGCAGTGGGCCTAGATTTGAACCTTGAGGTATGCCACATTTAACAGTCCTTGCCTCAGACATTGCTTGGTTGACCTTGCAGATTTGAGTCCTATTTGTAAGATAAGATCGAAACCATGCAAGTGTATGTCCTCTTATGCCATAGATATGCATTTTCTTAGTTAATATATGGTGGTCAACGCAGTCAAACGCTTTTTTGAGATCCAGAAAAATAACACCGTTCAAACAACCCTTGTCCATATTAATTAACCATTGGTTTGTAATGTTAAGTAGGGAGGTTTGTGTGGAATTATTTTTTCTGAATCCTGCTTGCTGTTCCGTAAGTATGCCGTTAGATTCCAGATACGTTTCAAGCTGTTCGGTAATTAATTTCTCAAATATTTTAGAAGCTGATGATAGAACAGAGATTGGGCGATAATTATCGCAATTTGTTTTACTTCCAGATTTATGAATGGGTGAAATGATTGCAGTTTTAAAGTCATCAGGAAATACACCCGCATGTATAGATGCATTAAATATGGCTGTTAATGTGGGTGCTATAACTTCAGCCGCATCTTTCAGAAGTTTGCCGGATATTCTATCATGGCCTGCTGACTTGGATGTTTTTATCGTCGAAAGTAATTTAAATACTTTTGTTAATGAGACGTTTTGAATATTAAACCGTGCGATGGATGAGGTTAAGTAAGACTCTGCCGTCTTGCAACTTTGTGGAATGTCTTTTGCTAGGTTTGAAGCTACCTCATTGAAATGCGCGTTTAAGCTATTTGCGATCTCCTCTGGTTTTGTTACATTTTGATTGTCATGTTGGATTTCGGATATTAAAGTTGTTTTTGACTTTTTTCCTGTAAGTTTATTAATCGTTTTCCACATTTCTTTGGGATTTTTTTCGCATCCATTCAAAGTGTTCCTAAAATAAGTCGATTTTGTATTTTTAATTAATCTGTTTAGATCGTTACGTGTTCGCTTATAGGCATCATGAAACTGTTTCGATCCTGTTTTAACTGCTTTTTTTTTCAAAAAATCTCTTTGTTTCATAACTTCCCTAATATTATTTGTGATCCATGGAGCATACTCACTTCTAACCTTTTTGGTAGTCTCGGGAGCGTGAAAATCGGCGATTGATAAAAATGTTGTTTTCCATTTTTTCCACATTATATTTGGATCAAGCATAGTATCCCAAAATATTCCATTGTGTAAATAGATGAAAATATCTGATTTAAAGTTGTTCACGCTGTAATGCTTGAATTGTCTTGTTTTAATAACTTTTGGGTCATTACGAGGAATAGAAATTTTTCTTTGAATATAAATTAAACTATGGTCACTAATTCCCAGATGGATAATTCCTGAACCATTTATTAATTCCGGTTTATTTGTGAATGCTAAGTCTATTAACGTTTTCGTTGTGGACGTAATTTGTGTTGGTTCATTAATCAATTGCTCAAATTGAAAAGTTCCTGCAAGTTCGGCAAGTTTGTTTGTCTGGACATTAGCTTTATTGTTAATTAGGCGAGACCAATCACAATTGAAGTCCCCAATCAAAATAACTTCTTTATTTTCGGAGTCCATTTTAGTAATTAAATCTTCATAGTTGTTAAACAATTCTAGTGGTGTATCAGGTGGTCTATACCAACAATTTATTAAAAAGGGTTTAGATTTTGGTTTAGAGATTTCGATTGTGATTGTCTCAAGGTTTTCGTCAAATAAATCGTCTCTTATTATGTAGTTTATTGAATTTCGTATGTAAATTGCTACTAAATAATAAAACTCGAATAAAACTCGAAGAACACCACCAATATCCACAGCTGTTGTTGTTTGCAGGATAAAAATTTGGATGCTTATATACTTGAAGAGCATGAGAGAGCAAATCGTCTGGATCAATATTCACTTTTTTTGTATCTTTAGTAACCTTTTTTTCAGCAACTGAAGTATACTCTTGTCAGTAACTTCTTCATCTCTTATATCATCTTGTACACTTTCATTGGTCGATCCTACAAAGCTCACAGAATGTTACAATTATGTTCTGTACAGTATGTCACTTCATGCATGTATAAAAAATAAATATATGATCACAATGAGATACCTAAAGATCTTGACCACGCTGCCCAGATATCAAATTCACAGGTAGGGGTGTAAGAAGCACCAAAAGATGAGGGGCACAAGCTTCCAGGTGCAATTTTGGGTAATGAAAAGGGCACCTCAAACATTTTCCCAGAAGTGTTGGTGACACAAGGGGGGGGGGGGGCGTTAGTAGAAAGAAAAAATTTCCGCTCATACCATACCGAATTGCAACATACAATAACGTTTTTGACCAAATGTATGTGTAATGTATTTTTGCCAAATCCACCAATACCAATTTCCAATTTACCCTATTGTTTGAGTCACGGATAGGTAACTTCCCTAAAACATTGCTATTGGTTAGGTCGGCAAAAATAAAATATGCGCATGATGGTGAAGGACCAGATTTATGAATAAATGTTGACTAACATATATAATGAGTTATATTGTTATTCTAATGAGTTCCATAGCCATCTTCCCTTCGATAAGCTATGGTCTAGGCTAGGAGTATTTTTGGACCATTACAGTGTATAATAGAAATACATTTAGAAACCCTGGCCTTACTGACAAAACCATCATATTTTCCCAACATGAAGTATTGAAAGTAGTTGTCATGGTAACACGATAATTTTATTAGAATATTTTTAAAATCGAAAAATCCCCCAAAAATATCACTTTTAATTACAAAATTATCAATTTCCCAAACATATGTATGTTAGGTTTGTTATTATATGCTGTCTTTTTTTCACTGACATGCAACAATCACTTGGCCGGGACGTCAACCTTCTGTGTGTCTTTATTCTGTCAATACATGTATTTGACCCCTCAGGTTTCATTGAATATGTATAGGTTATTTTGAGGCAACGAGGGGGATATGTGATTTATTCACCGAGGCGCGCAGCGCAGAGGTGAATAAACACATATCCCCAAGGTGCCTCAAAATAACGTACTTATTTTCACACTGCGAGGTCGCGTTAATGAGTTAGAAAAGAAATAATTCTTATTGCCATATTGCCTTTCGCAATGTTGTTTTTTCTCATTTATTGTGCTGCAAAGAATTGCAGGTGAATATTAGAGGGGATTATTAATTGCAGGTGAATATTAGAGGGGATTATTAAACGGAAATTGATTAGAGGGGAATATTGAATATATTCCCTGACAAGAACAAAGGAAACCGAGCAGGGTGAAAAATAAGAATTTAAATATATACTTGTTAACCATTCAAATAATAATTTATAGGTTATCTGGTACCATCTTTACAGTAAAGAATCATCACATGATAAAGGTGCACTTTATGCTGCAAGGAATGCTATTGATGAGCACAAAGTGTCTGAAGACCTGCACAATAATTTTTATGCATGTGGGGAATTCCTTGATAAACTCCTTCATGCATACACACCACCAGGATGCAGTGTGTTGAAGACCATCCAAAACAAAATGGTTATGAAGGTTTAGCATTGGATGATGAAGGAAAGAAGAAACATGTCCATCACATCATCAAGAGCTTCATCGAACAACATGTAACAAACCAAGTACCAGAACTAAGACCACTTGCACCAATCTCTAATGCAATGGAGCGCATATTTTGTAGAAAGAAACATGTTCAAAAGAAAGAAATTATATAATATTAGGAAATTTTAAATAAGTGTAGGTTATAGTAAGTGTAATTACTCTGCCCCAGGGGCCGGTTGTTCAATGCTGGGTTAGCACTAACCCTGGGTTAAATTTTAACCTGCTTTTTGTGCATTTCTACACGTCAGTAACATTATTGTATAAGTCAATATTTTTCAAATTTATTATTTTGGCATAAATCAAAATTTGTATGGGAGGTGCTAATATGATAATATTGCTTAACTCAACTGGCCAATCAAAGGCTGTTTACATGGCCTGCAAGGTTTTTGCTTAACTCAAAAGTGTGACATAGGCATAATTTTTTCAAAATGGCATTTACTAACAATTGCAGGCAGAGAGCTTCTCTGCTGTCTTTCTCTGAACTTTTAGTGGCAATTAATAAAGATGAAAGAGGTAAGTTATGAAATAAATGTAATTCACTAGTATTTATCATTAGTCCATAAGTAATAAATGTGTTATTTTCAATTTAAGGGACATAATGTCACAATTTGTGTGACTTAATATTGACACAATGACACACAGGAGATCTAAGATACAATTTAGCTAAGATTGAGTATTAAATTGACAGAAATGTTTATATAAAGCATAGGAATCTTCCACCCAATACAATAAACCCTCACAAAAGCCTAGAATTAAGTAAGTATTGAGTACAGGATTATTGAGATTGAGGCATTTATGTGAATTAATAGAAACATTTGCTCTACAGTGTTAATATGTGATACATAAAATAATAATGCATTCATATTAGTTGGATAAATTGATAACTTATGATATTTGTGATGTTACTCTGAGTGTATATCCACACCGGGCAAGCTTGAAAAATATGCCCAGCCACGGTGGGAGTCAAACCTAAGACCTTTGGAATACTAGCCCAATGCTCTGCCAACTGAGCTACGTGGTCAGGTCGGTTCAAGTATGTGATATTTCTGAACAGAATCTAGTTCCTTCGATACCAATGTAATCTAGTAATATGATTTTTTCTGTGTTGGTGTTGTGTACTCAGGTGAATATGAGCTTGAAAAATATGCCCGGCCATGGTGGGAATCAAACCTACGACTTTGGAATACTAGCCGTATGTTTAATGCATGGTACAGTATCTATGCTTTAAGTTCTCTCACTTCTCTACCTGTCAGTTAAAAACTTCATCAATAACTTACAAGTTTGAGTGACGAGTATGTCTGACTACCTCCGAAAGGCCTCCGAAGTTGTTTTTATTAGTCTTGTGCCGATCGAGTGAGATCATATAAATTGATTATCGTGTATCATGTCTATTATGACCATTATAAAATAGATCAAAATAAACAAAGCAAAATCGCAGTTCACAAAACAGGAATAGTAACTATATTATTATTAAATTCATCACAAATGTTTACACTGACACTATACATAACATGTTACAGGAAAACGTGCGTGGCTGGGATGACGAACAGGACTTTTGTCTCAATTAATATATACCTCACAGCCCTAAACTATATAATATATAATATATATAGAGGATATTAGGGACTGGTCATTAATTACAGGGGAGGGAGGGGGCGGGGCTGATGGAAAAAGAGGGGGGTCAGATATTTTGGTGCATGAAAAAAGAGGGGCCAAAAATTTTTGTGCAATATAAATACCTTCCCTGCATGACCCCGTCATACCATAAAACCTGCAGATAAAAAAATAGCAGTAGAGCTGTAGTAAACTCCAAAACAACACCATTTACTAAACTATTTTCAACATAAACATGTACATTGGAACAGTTGCTGAATGGTAAAGAGTTATAAATTACGATACAATGTGTATACTAGGGCATAGTTGCCAACTCTCACGGATGCTCACCATGAGCATCACAGAGTTTATTAAAACCTCACGGTGAGCTCACAACTTGTTAATATCTCACAGACTTCGAAAATAACCCAACTGGTTCTTAAATATGTTGGCTTTGTTACACATTTTAACTTGATGACCGATCCCTTAGACGGTTGCGATGAGATATGGATTTATGTTTTTGTGTTAAAACAATATCTCGCTCACCACAATACTGTTTTTGCCACTCAAACATAAAATCCATATCTACTCGCAACCGTGTAATGTTCTGTTAATCATTGGAACAGTTGCTGAACGGTAAAGAGTTATAAATTACGATACAATGTGTATACTAGGGCATAGTTGCCAACTCTCACGGATGCTCACCATGAGCATCACAGAGTTTATTAAAACCTCACGGTGAGCTCACAACTTGTTAATATCTCACAGACTTCGAAAATAACCCAACTGGTTCTTAAATATGTTGGCTTTGTTACACATTTTAACTTGATGACCGATCCCTTAGACGGTTGCGATGAGATATGGATTTATGTTTTTGTGTTAAAACAATATCTCGCTCACCACAATACTGTTTTTGCCACTCAAACATAAAATCCATATCTACTCGCAACCGTGTAATGTTCTGTTAATCATTGGAACAGTTGCTGAACGGTAAAGAGTTATAAATTACG